GAAGTCCCCCAAATCATCCACACTGAGCAACTTCCGCCCAATCAGCCTTGCCCCCACTCCTGTTAAGGTGATGGAGAAAATTATAAATGAAAGGTTGTTAGCTTGGCTCACAAGACTCCGCATAATACCTCAAGAACAACACGGTTTCATTCCAGGCTTATCTACCTGTACTAATCTTGCAGATACTTTGTTTGACTTTTGTAAGGCACTTAATGAAGGCAAATCGATTGATGTCGTCTATATTGATCTTTCTAAGGCGTTCGACAAGATGTGCCACTAGCGAACTTCATATCTTTATGACAGGCACATGACTGTTAGAATCAAGACTAGTTTCTCCAAGAGGTACCTTTGTGGGAGCGGGGTCCCACAGGGTGGTGTGTTATCCCCGCTATTGTTCTTAATCTACACTATGGAGCTACCTAATCTTCTTAAAACTTGCCCTGACATTACAGTTCAAATGTATGCGGATGATATCAAAATCTATGGAGTTCTTGATCGAACCAACTATACAGCTGTACGCGGTGCTTTGAAACTTTCTATTCATAGAATGGTTGAATGGGCTTCTCATTGGGATATTCCACTCAACCTGAATAAGTGTTCGGTTATGCACATTGGGAATCTTGGTCCGGCTGATTATTACATCAACGACATTAAGCTTACGAATGTGTCAGTCTGCTATGGATCTTGGTGTCCTTTTTGACTCAAAGCTGAACTTCTACTCTCACATAAACCAAGCCGTAGAGAAAGCTTTCACCAACTTATTCGCACTTTTCCGTAATGTGCAATCTTCGGATGCGGCAGTGCTCACTCGTCTATACAAGGCCTATGTACTGCCACATCTTGAATATTGCTCACAGATCTGGAGCCCTTATATCAAGAAGTATATCAGTAAAATTGAGAAGGTTCAGCGTGTGTTTACCCGTCCTCCTTTGGTACCGAATTACGCGCAACACGAGGTCGCAGTGATTTGCCTCCTTATGTTGAGCGCCTAAAGGTGTTTTCAATGAAATCGTTACAGTTCAGGCGGGTGATTGCTGATTT